TAACGAGTTTTTTTGCATAAAAAACAGACATGCATGCAGTAAACCTATAATTTTGACCAGGGTAGGCATTTGGTGAACATTTTATGAATCTCACATAAAATTTTAATAAATTTCCAACATTTTAGTATAGTTTTTGTTAGTAAAATATAATTGTAAATATTTTTAATTTAATTTACAAGTCGTACTGATACGCTGGGACACCCTATATATTAGTGGTTACAATTGTAAATTATTTAACTATTATACAGTACAATGTAGTTTTCTATCAAAAAGTCAATTATTTCATTATTATTAAAATCACAAAATTAAATTAATTATTATGTGAGAAAAATTAAACAAATCTTAAATAAAATTTTAACTAATGCCTAAATGTATTTTTATAACTGTAAATAGATTGTAGAAAATATGTAAATTAATCTTAATTTATAAGTTTAAATGAATGAAATATAAATGTAATTTTAAATAAGAGTATCAAAAATAAAAATAATAAAGTAACTAATTGTCATTATTAAATTTTAAAAATTCTTCTTATATTAGTAATATTATGTTAAATAAATCTCCCTTGAAAGTGGTCCCATATATTGGTGATACAGTGCTTGCTCCTTTACGCCAATTGTCATCTCAATGGCATTCAATGTTTTCAAATCATTCAATGATGTCATTAGGGATTGAAGTTTTAATTCATAATTTGACGGATACTTCACTAATAGATATCTTTGCAATAAATAAATATATAACTGCTGTTCGAGTCTAATAAATGACATATATTTTAAATATTAAAAACATTTTGCATTTACTTAATAATTACCTGACTTTAAGCCTGTGTAATAAATTAGGTCGATTTGGGTTAAACAGTATAATTGCTGTTAACTGAGCATGTTATATATAATTTATTAGTATTAAAACAAATAATAAAATTGAATATCTGAATGGTTCAAATAATGATATAACAGTAATATTAAATTAAAGTCGTTTTCAAATACTCGTGTGCAAAAGGTTTATGCCCCTATTAAACATAGAACCTTCAAATTAAACAGGGTAGATGACTCTATCACTGTATTATTGTCCTAGTTCAATTCAAGTTTACATTAGCATCGTAATCATTATACATAATGTAAACCACTTACTAGTGGAAAATAAAAGGCTGCCTTTTCTTGATTATAATATTTAAAATTAAGGAATGCAAGCAATTCGTTGCACCCGTATTTGACCAGGGCGATTTTATCGTTGTGGCAAATGTTATTAAATGCCCGCAAACATTGTGTAAAGTCTATGACATCGGCGATAACTCGTTCAGTCATTTGTAAAGTGTTTCCAAACAATTGCTCCAAATTTGTCACTTTAATCACATTCCCGCCCACCGTATAGTTAAATCTAACCGTAGCCCCCAATAGCTCTGATACACGACTGGCCTCTAATTCATTTAAGCCTTTATAATTAGTTAAGGGTTTGTATATAGAAATCACTTTCAATTCATTGGATTTATTTTGATTATTAATTGTATTATCTTTTGAAATGTTTGTCAAACACTTTTCAATGTCCATAATCTGTTCATTAAGCTCCTTATCACTAATATTCATTGTATTCTCAAATATTTCACTTATAAAGTCATTTAATTTGTTATTTTCATTCATTGATGACTTTTGTGGGGAACTAGTCATACAATTCGTGGTTTCAATAGTTTTCGCTGTTTTTTGTTTGCATTTCCGGATGAATGGTTTTCTCGTTTCATTTTCTTCATCACTTCGGATACACTCCTATTAAACATATATTTCTCATAAATTATTTAATAATTGAAATAATGATTACTTTTTTCATTCCGACGGCAAAACACTTCCCAAGTCTGCATTTCCGACACGAGTTTCTGGTCATTGGATTTATAATACATTTTCCATTAAAGACACAAATTAATGGCTATTCATATAGAAATCAGTATTAATATTATGAATAATATTTAACTACTACTAAATATTTACAGTAGTTTTTAGTGCAAACCGTCTAAAAAAGGTTTTACAAGACTTGCAAGTGATTGTAGTATAATGTCTGCCTAAAAATAAACAAATTAATTAATATATTTAATTTAGTGTAAAAATAAAAAATAAATACCTGTCCCTTTAGCGCCACACACTTCGCAAATTTTATTCTGGTTATTGTAAACCATATTTTATTTTATAAATCCAATGATTTCAATGTTTTATTAGGAATGGGTTACTAAAATACAGTACAATAATACAATACATATAAACTAACACTAACATTGTAAGACCTAGTTAGTAGTGATATCACATGATAATGAAATTACTAGTATAAATATTTTATGAAATATACACTTAATTCCTGGTATATTAAGATTACAAATATATACAGTATATACTATAGTTTAACTTTATTATTTTCTATAACAAGTATGCATAAATATAGCACTACATTTATATTATTAAACTATTATAGAGTACAAAACTAGTCACTAATTGCTATTAACAGGGTAAATTTCCTTCATAAGGGGTCCCATACTATCAACAAAAGGTTTGTAATTCTTCGTAACCACAGCCAACTCAATGTTACTCAACATTTGTAGCATTTGTAGTGAAAACATAAGTTTTTGTAGCTTTGACTCCGATTCCGAACCATATTTTAACAGTAAATATCTTTGTAGTAAATAAATGTACAATTGTTGCTCGAGCCTATTATAATGATTATTTGTTACTTAAACAAAACTTGAGTTATGGGTTTTAAATATCATACTTAACATTATGTCTGTGGACTATATTAGGTCGATTCGGATTGAATAGGGTGATCGCGGTCAACTTTTAAAATAATTTTAACATAGGTTAAGAGATAAAATAATAGTAAACTATTAAAAAAATATATTTTTAAAAATATAATACCAGGTCCATCATGATGTAGTCGTTGTAATCCCATTCACACAATATTTTACGAGTAAATTCATTCAGCATGTTAATATATACCGTATCCAGACTAAACATATAAGCACTGATCACTAATGTAGTGTTATTATCCTGTAGTGAAATATAAATATATGAATAATTATTACATTATTACAAATTAATTACAGCATAATTATATTGATATATAAATTATTTAAATATATTTAAATATTACAATACTCACTATAGGTACACAAAAATTATTATTGTCCAGATCATAATATTTAAACGTAAGAACGGATAGCACTTCATTTATCCCATACTTCACCAGGGCTAATTGATCGCTAAGGCAAATGTTATTAAAACCATTTAAACATTGAGTAAAGTCTACGACATCTTTAATGATTAGTTCATTTTTGTGTCTGGATCTTTTAATAAAGTCTTCGAGATTTATAATGTTCAACATATTAGGACTCAATGGATAGTTAAACCTAACGGTAGCTCTGGTTAACTCGGATATACGGATGACTTCCAGTTGTTTGAAACCCTCATAATCTGTCATTTGTTTAAACATCGGTATAATCGCTAATTCTTGCGCTTTGTTTTCACTTTTCATTTCATCAATTCTCACACAATTTTCAAATTCTTTTATCTGTTTATTGAGCTCTTCATCACTAATATTGAGTGTATTTTCAAATAACTCATCGAAAGTGTCTTTTACTATGTTTTCATCCGATATTAAACTGTTGGGCGAACCACTTGGGGATGAATTGCTACATTCATTGTTTTGTAGTAATTTTAATTTATTTAGCTTGATCAATCGCTTTCTCTGTTCATTTTCATTAAATTCTCTTATCAATTCCTATAAATAAACATTTATTAAATTCAAAAATAAAAAACATTTATAAATATGATTATAAACATTACTTTTTTCATGCCGACTGCAAAACATTTAGCGAGTCTACACTTTTGGCATATTTTTCTGGTCACTGAATTTATAACACATTTACCACCGGATGCACAGATTAATGGCTATTCATATAAATTAATTTGTTTATTTTTAAAAATTTAAAATAAAATTTAAATCATATTAACATTAATTATATGCTTACTTGATTTCTGAGGGCATACCGTCTAAAAAAGGATTTACACGACGCGCACGTAATTACAGTAAAGTTTTTACCTAGATATAAAATAGTTACTTAATCTGATTGTGTCTACAATTAAATAAAAAATAATTAAATACCAATCCCTTTAGCGCCACACACTTTGCATATTTTAGTTAATTTCTCACAACTCATATTATCGTAATATTTATAAAATTAAATATATTTCATTTAATTATTCAAATGGTTACATAAAACGAAATAGATTAATTTATAGTATCACTATATTAATTAATAACATGTTTACTGAGAGTTCTTAATAATATTAAACACACTTTGAGCTAATGTCATTTTATCTATAATATAGGAGTGGTTTATTGATTATATGTAACTGTCCATTTAACGCCATAAACTTCGCAAACTTTATTTATGTTTGTTTAAAGTTTACAATATAAAGCATATTTTATTTCATAAATCCAATGATTTTAATAAGTTTTATTAGAAAACTGCTAAACAATATAGCAATACACTATTGTACTTATACTGTATTTGTAGTAAACTTAACTAACAACTTTGAATGATCTAGAATCTAAATTCTAGTTATAAGTAGTTTTATTCTATGAAACAGTACTAAAATTACTTGTATCTACTTTATTTTTAAAATATTTATTTAATTCCTGGTATACTATATTAAGATTTAAAAATCGACTTGTAACTTTATTATTTAATTATAACACATGTATAAATAAAGTTATAAAAATTAATATTTATTATTCAGTTATTATAGAATCAATATATAACAAAACATTAATTATTATCAATTGGATAAATCTCCCTCATAAGAGGTCCCATATAATGGGCAAACGGTTTGTAATTCTTCATAACCACAGACAACTCAAAGTTACTTAACATTTGCAGCACTTGTAATGAAAACATAAGTTTTTGTAGCTTTGACTCCGATTCTGATCCATATTTGAACAGTAAATATCTTTGTAGTAAATAAATGTATAATTGCTGCTCGAGTCTAGATATAATAAATTTATTTATTATTTGTCACTTAAATTAACCTTGAATTATATAGTATTTTTAAATAACATACCTAACATTATGTCTGTGGACTATATTATGTCGATTCGGATTAAATAGGGTGATCGCGGTCAACTTGTAAAATATTTAAAATAAAGTTACGGGATAAAATAACTATGGAATGAATTAATATATTGTAAATTTTTAAAATACAATACCAGGTCCATCATGATGTAGTCGTTGTAATCCCATTCACACAATATTTTACGTGTAAATTCATTATACAAGTTAGAATGTGTCGTATCCAAACTAAATATATCAGCACTAATCACTAATGTAGTGTTATTGTCCTGAATTAAAATATTAAAAAAGAATATAATTATATATTCATGTAAATTATTTAAATATTACAATACTTACTATAGGTACACAATAATTATCATTATCTAGGTCATAATACTTTAATGTACAAATAGATAGCATTTCATTGCACCCATACTTTACCAGGGCTAATTGATCGTTAAGGCATATGTTATTAAAACCATTCAAACATTGAGTGAAATCTGCGATATCTTTAATGATACTCTCAGTTTTGTACCTGGCTCTTTTAATAAATTCTTTAAGATTTATCAATTTCAACATATTAGCGCCCAATGGATAGTTAAACCTAACGGTAGCTCTGGTTAACTCTGATATACGGATGACTTCCAGTTGTTTGAAACCCTCATAATCTGTCATTTGCTTAAACATCGGTATTATCGTTAATTCTTGCGCTTTGTTTTCACCTTTCATTTCATCAATTTTAACACAATTTTCAATTTCTTTTATCTGTTTATTGAGCTCTTCATCACTAATATTGAGTCCATTTTCTAACAAGTCATCGAAAATGTCTTTTACTATGTTTTCATCCGATAATAAACTACTGGGTGAACCACTTTGGGATGAATTGCTATATTCATTGCATTGATGTAATTGTAAATTATTTATCCTGGTTAATTGCTTTCCCTGCTCATTATCATTGGAATTTCTTATTAATTCCTATAAATAAACATTTATTAAACTCATAAATAATATTGTAAAATTGTATAAACATTACTTTTTTCATTCCGACTGCAAAACATTTAGCGAGTCTACACTTTTGGCATATTTTTCTGGTCACTGAATTTATAACACATTTACCACCGGATGCACAGATTAATGGCTATTCATATAAATTAATTTGTTTATTATTAAAATTTTAAAATAAAATTTAAATCATATTAACATTAATTATATGTTTACTTTATTTCTGAGGGCATACCGTCTAAAAAAGGATTTACACGACTCGCACGTAATTACAGAAAAGTTTTTACCTAGATATAAAATTGTTACTTAATCTGATTGATTGTTTCTACAATTAAGTAAAAATAAGTAGATACCCATCCCTTTAACGCCACACACTTTACATATTTTAGTTAATTTCTCACAACTCATATTATCGTAATATTTATAAAATTAAATATATTTTATTTAATTATTCAAATGGTTACATGAAACGAAATACCGTAAATCAATTTATAGTATCAATATAGCAATTAATAACATGTTTGCTGACAGTTCCTAATACTGTAATATTAAACACACTTTGAGATAATGTCATTTTATCTATAATATAAAAGTGGTTTATTGAATATAAGTATCTGTCCATTTAACCCCACAAACTACGCAAACCTTATTTAGGTTGGCTAATAGTTTACAATGTAAACCATATTTTATTTCATAAATCCAATTACTTTTGTATTAAATTTTAAGATTTAAAAATATACACGTAACTTTTTTATTTAATTATAATTATATGTATAAATAAAGCCATGAAAATTAATATTTATTATTAGGTTATTATACAATCAATATATAACTAAAAATTATTTATTATCAACGGGATAAATCTCCTTCATAAGGGGTCCCATATAATGGGCAAACGGTTTGTAATTCTTCATAACCACAGACAACTCAAAGTTACTTAACATTTGCAGCACTTGTAATGAAAACATAAGTTTTTGTAGCTTTGACTCCGATTCTGATCCATATTTGAACAGTAAATATCTTTGTAGTAAATAAATGTATAATTGCTGCTCGAGTCTAGATATAATAAATTTAGTTATTAAATTATTTGTCACTTAAATTAACCTTGAATTATATAGTAGTTTTAAATAATATACCTAACATTATGTTTGTGGGTTATATTAGGTCGATTCGGATTGAATAGGGTGATCGCGGTCAACTTTTAAAATAGTTAAAATAAAGTTACGGGATAAAATAACTGTGGAATAAATTAATATATTGTATAGTTTTTATAATATAATACCAGGTCCATCATGATGTTGTCGTTGTAATCCCATTCACACAATATTTTTCTCGTAAATTCATTCAACAAGTTAAAATGTGTCGTATCCAAATTAAATATATCAGCACTAGTTACTAATGTAGTGTTATTGTCCTGAAATAAAATATTTAAAAAAGTATTTAATTATACTATATATTCATGTAAATTAATTAAATATTACAATACTTACTATAGGTACACAATAATTATCATTATCTAGGTCATAATATTTAAATGTACAAATAGATAGTAATTCATTGCAACCATATTTTACCAGGGCTAATTGATCATTAAAGCAAATGTTATTAAAACCATTCAAACATTGAGTGAAATCTACGATGTCTTTTATGATACTCTCAGCTTTGTACCTGCCTCTTTTAATAAATTCTTCGAGATTTATCAATTTCAACATATTAGGACCCAATGGGTAGTTAAACCTAACGGTAGCTCTGGTTAACTCTGATATACGGATGACTTCCAGTTGTTTGAAACCCTCATAATCTGTCATTTGTTTAAACATCGGTATTATCGCTAATTCTTGCGCTTTATTTTCACTTTTAGTTTCATTAGTTTTGACACAATTTTCAAATTCTTTTATCTGTTTATTGAGCTCTTCATCACTAATATTGAGTTCATTTTCTAACAACTCATCGAAAATGTCTTTTACGTTACTTTCATTAAATAGTAAACTGTTGGGCGAACCACTTGTGGATGAATTGCTGCATTCATTGTTTTGTAGTAATTTTAATTTATTTAGCTTGATCAATTGCTTTCTCTGTTCATTTTCATTGGAATCTCTTATTAATTCCTATAAATAAACATTCATTAAACGCATTAATACTAAGTTTTAAATATTGATATATCAGTGTTGGCAAAATCCTTTTAAATTGGTAGTGGTAAATTTGTGAGTGTAATATTTTGTGTGTATTTAAGTAATAGTTACTGTTAATTGTGACTATACTTGAGCAAATATTTACTTTCACAAACCACTTAACAATTGAAAAAAAGTTTGGCCAACACTGATTTATGGAATTCGTTATACGAATAGTAGTAATTAATAAACATTACCTTTTTCATGCCGACTGCAAAACATTTAGCGAGTCTACACTTTTGGCATACTTTCCTGGTCAGTGAATTTATAACACATTTACCACCGGATGGACAGATTAATGGCTATTCATATAAATTAATTTGTTTAAATCATAATTGAAATTATTTATATATACAGTATGTTTACTTTATTTCTGAGGGCATAGCGTCTAAAAAAGGCTTTACACGACTCGCACGTAATTACAGCAAAGCTTTTACCTAGATAAAAAAAGAGTTACTTAATTTGATAGATTGTTAATAAAATTAAAAAACAATAATTAAATACCAATCCCTTTATCTCCACACACTTCGCATATTTTCGTTAATTTTTCACAACTCATAGTGTTAACCTCGGTAATCCTAATCAAATATATTAGAGTAATATTTATAAAATTAAATACATTTTATTTAAACGTTCAAATCTGTACATTAAATTCAATTTTTAATATATAATTAATGACATGTTTACTGAGTTTTGAGTCTCAATCAAAGTTCTTAATAATATTAACCACACTTTAAGATAATGTCATTTTATCTATAAAAGTGGTTTATCACATGTCAATATATTATTATATTATTATATTTTATTTATAAAATTAACAACAAATTTCAAGTTTCTAATAAATATAAAAATATTCTATTTATTTGAAGTACCGTACATAGTATGTACTAGGTTACATAGTCTTACTACGGTAATTAACATAATTGCCAAATAATTGCCAAATAATTTGTCCTAGTTCAATTCAAGTTTACATTAGCATTGTAATCATCATACATAATGTAAACCACTTACCAGTGGAAAATAAAAGGCTGCTTTTTCTTGATTATAATATTTAAAATCAAGGAATGCAAGCAATTCGTTGCACCCGTATTTGACCAGGGCGATTTTATCGTTGTGGCAAATGTTATTAAATGCCCGCAAACATTGTGTAAAGTCTATGACATCGGCGATAACTCGTTCAGTCATTTGTGAAGTGTTTCTAAACAATTGCTCCAAATTTGTCACTTTAATCACATCCCCGCCCACCGTATAGTTAAACCTAACCGTAGCCCCCAATAGCTCTGATACACGACTGGCCTCTAATTCATTTAAGCCTTTATAATTAGTTAAGGGTTTGTATATAGAAATCACTTTCAATTCATTGGATTTGTTTTGATTATTAATTGTATTATCTTTTGAAATGTTTGTCAAACACTTTTCAATGTCCATAATCTGTTCATTAAGCTCCTCATCACTAATATTCATTGTATTCTCAAATATTTCACTTATAAAGTCATTTAATTTGTTATTTTCATTCATTGATGACTTTTGTGGGGAACTAATCATACAATTCGTGGTTTCAATAGTTTTCTCTGATTTTTGTTTGCATTTCCGGACGAATGGTTTTCTCGTTTCATTTTCTTCATCACTTCGGATACACTCCTATTAAACATATATTTCTCATAAATTATTTAATAATTAAAATAATGATTACTTTTTTCATTCCGACGGCAAAACACTTCCCAAGTCTGCATTTCCGACACGAGTTTCTGGTCATTGGGTTTATAATACATTTTCCATTGAAGACACAAATTAATGGCTATTCATATAGAAATCAATATTAATATTATGAATGATATTTAACTACTACTAAATATTTACAGTAGTTTTTAGTGCAAACCGTCTAAAAAAGGTTTTACAAGACTTGCAAGTGATTGTAGTATAATGTCTGCCTAAAAATAAACAAATTAATTAATATATTT